CCCCTATATATATATATATATATATATATATATATATATATATATATAGGGGCCTATTCAAGGGAGAACTAAGTTGTTTGTGGTAACTGTGAGAATCAATATTAACCACAAATCAATAGATAAATTAGGAAATTTATAAATTTGGTAATTTTAAATTAAAATCTTAATGCAAGGATATTTTTGGTATTTTAAAACTCTCCTCTCTCCTCTCTTCTCTCTCCGGCCACCATTCTCCGGCCACCGTCCTCCGGTGATACCACTGTGATACCTAAAAATATTGACTCTGTTAAACAAAAGATACATTGTGATACCTAATCATATATAAGATGCATAGTGATACATTGTGATACCTATAGAGGAGGGAGGAAAGTTTTAAAATACCAAAAATATTCTTGCATTAATATTTTAATTCAAAATTGCCAAAATTATAAATTTCCTAATTTATCTATTGATTTGTGGTTAATATTGGTTTTCACAGTTATCACAAACTAATTAGTTCTCATTTGATTAGGCTATATATATATATATATATATATATAGGGTTGGATTATGGTGAGAAAAAAAAAGTTCAATTGAGAAACGTAAAAGAGGATTTCCACCCTTGTATGTATATTATGATGAGATGTACCGAGATGCATTGCATCAATCCTGTTATTCAGCGTGATACGTACTTGAGTTTGATATTAAATGTAATCAAGGGTTCAGGTCCCTTATTAAGCTTCTCATTTGAACTTTTTTTCTTATACAATCCTCCACCTATATATATATATATATAACAAATATATATACATACATATATATATATATATATACACACAGATGATGTCTAATTGATTCCATAGCCTGCTTTTAGGAGCAAAAAGGTGGATTCGGGTGCAGAAGCAGCCAAAATGACACTCCATACGAACAACCATATTCAAGACACTACTCCCTTTAAATATTGAGTTTGCATATATTTTATATATGCTGGAAACCGATAGACTTAGTCTCTCTCTCTCTCTCTCTCACACACACACGTATTCATATCATCACAAATACATACACAAACTTGATCACTATGTCACACGCATCATAAATAGATACATATAAAAGAGGATCATGTGAAAAACAAACTAATTCATGAGAAGACAAAAAAAAGTATGAGTGACATGCCTTATTTAATAAATTGATTAAATAAAACACTTTTAAATTAAATTAGAAAATGTATCATTATTTGTAGCCATAGTAATAATTCTTAATAAATCAGGAGTAGGTTTGTTTTCCAAATTGATTTTCTAATAATTCTTAATAAACTGATTTCATCATAAACATAAATTTGTAACAACTTTATTTTAAGTTTTTATGACATGTATGATAGTTTGTTAAACTTTACTTTAAGTTTTTATGACATGTATGATAGTTTGTTAAATGATCGTATCAATTATATGTGATAATTGTATGTATTTTTGTTAATCATATATGATTATGTATATTTACATTTATATCTCTCTCTTTTGAGATGCAAATATTATCATATGTGTTACTACCTCAGTCATATCTAGACGTCTATTATCACATGTGATAATACATAATTTAGACTCACAAATATATATTATCATATATGATATGTAAAAAATTCACAAAATGGATCATATATGATACTTAATAGATTTTTACGTTAAAAGAAACTAATCACATATGATTCAAAAAGTGGATCCAAATAATAGAGAAAAAAAAGTGTGAAATTAAATAATGAATTGATTGTGAATATCATATGTGATTTTTGATAAAAATTGTGATTTTGTTACAATTATGTACTTAACATAATATTTGATCAAATTCAAAATGTTAATTATTCTAATTTCTGACTTATTTTTCATTTTTTATTTATGATATTTTTTAATTAATGGATTATGTGGTTTACATTGCTTTCCGCCTTCTTGTAAATTGACCACCTTCTCGTTTAAATATGTCCTAGTACAAACACATACACACACACACTATCATCAAGCATGAACAACGTTTGAAAAATAAGAGATACAAAAAATTAGAGGAAAAAAAGAAAAAAAAAAGAACTTGGTGGAGACAGATTAGAAGGAGAAGAGAATGGCATTTAATGCGGAGTATGAAGAGAAAAGAAGATTACTGGATGTCGGATGTGAGGAGAAAAGATGGTCATTGGATGTCCCCGTTACGAAGAGTCAAAGGAGAATAACTAATGAGTTTTATAGGAGAAAAGAAGATTATTTGATGCCCACTTTCAAATGCGCATACAACAAAATGTCCAAGTACGATGACATACATGTTGTAGGCTCGGGGATAAGTAGCAATGGCTTGATGCCTTGTTTCAACGACTTGATGGCATAAAGTTAATTGATACACAAACACATACACACATATAGATATATACTTTTAGTTAGATATATAAACACCTACATACTTGACGTATTATGTTTTCTAACTTGTTAATAAGCCTAACAACAGTTCCTATTTCAAAGCAATTGGTCGCTTTACCTTCCACACAACTAGTATTCGCTAAAATTTCACAAAAGGGAACACGAAAAAAAAAACATTCCAAAAAAACTACTTGTGCCAGACCATAGTGCAATCTCAGAGAAATATTTGGGTCAGAGACCAAAAGGGTTACAAGCACTTTATAGGCATTGAGAGTCTTGCTTAGATCAGAAACAAGGGATTGAAGTGCACGTCGCTCCCAGGTCTTTGGAGCTCAATCATTTGACTTCACCATTTTTCATGATGACATACATTTTTAGTGAAGAATGCTTGGGTTGATCATGCTATTATTGCCTGGTACAAAATGTAAGTCAATGGTTACTACATTCTAATATTCAATCTTACATTCCAAAAATATTCTACTTTATCACATCGTCGTATTTGTAGGTTATCAAATGAGATTATGCAAACAAATACAAACAACAAACGTGGTTTCATATATCCAACCTCGATTAATGCTGACTTATGCTAAAGAAACGTTGTCATAAGTAACATTATTAGTGCAATCTCCCACAATAGAGAACTATGATCTTT